TAAAGGGCTTACGAGTTTAAGGCTTTGGGTTTAGGGCTTAAGGGCTGCCATCGGAGGTAGGACACGTCATTCCCGGAAAAGTCACGAGACAACCTGAGGACCATGCTTGCATAGCATGCCACAGCCGCGTCGAGGTGGCAAGCGGTCGCAACCTTGGTTCAAGCAGGCAGCAAGTGGCATGCAGAAGAAATCGATGTAATGAAGAGGCCATTTGTTTCTGAACCGTTTCTGGTGGTGTATAATGATCATGATAATGCTGATGATGATGAAGATGATGATGATGATATATATATATATGTATATATATATATATATGTATGTATATATGTATGTATATATATATATATCTATAATTCTGTAGGGACTATAAGGGGATGCATCAGGGGATACATATGACAAAACCCGCATCTTGGGGCTTAGGAAAGCTTCGGAGGTCAGGACTTCCCTCTGCAAGGAAGCTCTGGACAGCAAAAAGGGGCCTTAGCAACTCGAACAGAGTTAGGCTTGGAGTTTAGGGTTTAGGGTAAAGGGTTTAAGGTTTAGGGTTTAGGGTAATTCGAACAGAGTTTTGCGGGGGTATAGTCTAGTATAGTTATAACAAGGAGCTCCTAAGGAGGAATGCTGGCAACTCTTCCGGCTTCTAGATAGAAAGATAGATACATACATATATATATATATATATCTAGCTATCTACGTATATGGACTATTCAGCCCAAACCCTAAACCCTAATGCCTGTAGATCCGCACGGCTTTTTCTGACAAATCGCTCCCGGCTTTTGCGGCGTCTGCAATGACCCAGAGGGTCTACTCCTTAATCAAGCGGCATTGCGCTCTACGGCGGACCTCTGCTATGTACATCGAAACATCGGCAGATCCGATGATTTTGGAGCTTAGGAGTTCAGAGTTCACATGGTTGGGGATGGAATAAAGATGGAGGTTGAGGGTTTAGGGGTTCAGGGGTTTAGGTTTTTGAAGAAGGGTTGTTGTCCATCTGTGGGAATATAGAATTCCATGGTTCATGAGGTCGCGGTTGCGACGGGGCCAGAGCAAAGCCCTTCAAAATGAAACGAGGGAGTCAGAGAAGTGAGCGCGGAATCGAAGCTAGGGCTCTTCAGAGGAATCGTCGGACTCGTCCGCCGGCTTTTCTGCAGGGCAGGTTGCGTACATGCACGGATTTGGGGCATCACGTTTGGGATTGTGGGGTCTTGGGTGTTGGGTTTGGGGTTGGAGGAAGCCAGAGTTTGTCAGGAGCAGGAACCGCTTTGCAACCGAGTTACTCCAACTTTTGAGGTTTCGAGGTAGTTCTCTAAATTAGGGTCCCTTTTTAGGTCCCCCATGTAGTACAGCACCCTTATGAAAGGGACCTCAAAAGGGACCCTAATCTAGAGAACTACCCTAAGGGTTTATGTAGGGTTTAGGGCATACTTTTGAGCCTCCCGAGTCCCATGCGTCCTGGCTCAGGGCACTGTACATCATACTCCCAGAGATCCCAGTGCCCCTTGATTAAGGCTTAGGGTTTAGGGTTTAGGGTTTAGGGTTTGGGGTTTGGGGTTTGGGGTTCAAGGTTTAAGGTTTAAGGTTTAGGGTTTAGGGCTTAGGGCCAGGGATTCCAATACCCTCCAATTAAGGAATAGACTTTCAATGGTAGGGGCATTGATATTATGGTTCACGGTATATTCCTTAATTAAGGGAGTATTGGGATCTCTGTCTGGGCTGACACTACTACTACTACTACTCCTCCTCCTCCTCCTCCACCTCCTACTACTACTACTACTGCTACTACTACTACTACTACTACCACTACTACTACTACTACTACTACTACTACTGCTACTACTAGTGTTTTTACTACTACCACCACTGCTACTACTGCCCACTATCACCACTACTTCCACCACTACTCAGCAGTTCAGAATCGGAGTCAGATTTCTGTAAGAATCCTAGTGATGATGTGAATATCTGCTTTGGACGGTGTCTACGCTGAAAGTTCCACGTCAGACTAAAGGCAACGACCCGAAGCCTGCTTTTTTGGAAGGGTCCCTGTAAATTCCATATTAGGGTGCATGATAAGAACCTACAAGAAAGTCGGTGATGGTAGCTTACGGGAAGGCTCAAGCGAAACCTTAAAACCCGTATAGAACCTCGAGAATATCCCTTTATGGAAAGCTGAAACGGCACCCTAAGCACCAGGCCCCAAGCCTACCTAGTCAACTGGAAGAGAACTGCAACAAGCCAATAGAGCGACCAAGCAAGGCTCCCGAAAGATCTCAAAGGGTTTAGGGTTTAGGGTTCGTGGTTCAAGGTTCAAGGTGTAGGGTTTAGGTTTTTGGCTTTAGGGTTTAGGGTTTAGGGTTCAGGGTTTAGGGTTTAGGGTTTAGGGTATAGGGTTCAGGGTTTAGGGTTCACGGTTTAGGGTTCAGGGTTTAGGGTTTAGGATTCAGCAACATTGGATCGAGAATCTCTGGCGGACCTGAAGGGTTGCTACTACTCAGGTTCCCGACTCGAATCACCGGTGGACCTGCCTACTAAGTACGCAGAACCCTGGGTTGAAGGTTTGCGGTTTAGGTCTTGGGGTTTAGGGTTCGGGGTTCAGGGTTCGGGGCTTAGGGCTTGGGGTTTAAGGGGTTTAGGCTTTTAACCCTAAACCCTTAACCCTAAACCCGTAACTCCTGCGTTTAGGGGCTCCCGCCTTTCGCTTCCTCCAGCACCCACTCGAAGACTCCGGTTCCCCAGGCCTGCCGGGGGCTTAGGGTTTGGGGTTTAGGGGTTTAGGGTCTAGGGCTTAGGGTTGGGGTTTTTGGGTTTGGGGTTTAGGGGCTTGGGGTTTAGGGTTTAGGGTCTAGGGTTTAGGGTTTAGGGCTTAGGGTTTAGGGTTTAAGGGTTTGGGGGGTTAGGGCTTGAGGGTTTTTGAGGGTTTAGGATTTCAGGGTTTAGGGTTTAGGATTTGAGGATAAGTTTAGGATTTGAGGGTTTGAGGGTATAGGGTTTGGGGTTTAGGCTGACGGGTTTCGGGTCAGAGGTGTAGGGTTTGCACACAAGGTCTGCAGTCTTCATGCCAAAATTTCAAATCCACTATCCTAAACTCGATACCATGAAAACGACAGAGCCAAACCCTAAACCCTTAAACCCTTAAACCCTAAACCCTTAAACCCTAAACCCTACACCCTAAACCCTAAACCCTTAACCCTTAAACCCTAAAAAACCCAGAACCCAAAACCTGCTCTTAACCCGCATCGCAATCCCCAGCCACTGTCGAAGACTGAAAGTCTGGCCTCGGAACAAAAAAAAACAAACCTCTGAACCCCTGAACCCCTAAACCCTAAACCCCTAAACCCTGAACCGCTAAACCCTAAACCCTCAACTCTCAACCCGAGACCCTAAAGAAACCCTGAACCCCTAAACCCTCAACCCTGACTCCTAACCCCTAAACTCCTCAACCCTCACCCTAAATACCCTAAACCCTCAACCCTAGACACTAAACCCTAGACTGGCCTGGTACTTGGCCGAGGGCGGCTTGTGATGCCACGCGCCGGCATCGAGATGCAGCCGGAAGTACCCGTTGATGCTTACGGCTGGATACCTAGACTTCGTGGGTTTAGGGTTGCATGGGGTTTGAGGTCTAATGTTTGGGTACCGTGTAGGGTTTAGGACAATGAAAACCATCAAAGAAAATACTCAGCTGAAAGGAAGGAGGAGGTGTGGCTCAAACCCGAGACTGCCAAAACAATACGAAGCAATGATGCTGATAGAAATGTGGCAATGAACACTAAGAATAGTAAGTAGTATGAACAGTAGCACACAGGGTAATCATTAGTGTCAATGTCATCATCATCATCATCATCATTCCATCCTCATCCCGATCGTTATCATAATCAAACGTGCTTGTCATCATCGTCATCATCGCCATAAGCATCGTCATCGATATCACCATCATCATCATCATCATTAAATATCCGCATCATCATCACCACCATCATCAGCATTATCATCACTACCGTCAACATCAACAACATTCTCCCCAACCTCGTCTGCATGTTCAGCATGGTCATCGCCGCATCGACGTTCTGTGACTGCGTTTGTACGACGTTACTGTGGTTCGGCCATGGATGTTACGGTACTTGGTCACTATTCAAGTTCAGAAGCTGCATCCGTCGGTATGCCAAAACCACTGTGAGGGACCAGGGTTCAAGCATGGCCTACTGCAGGAGGTGCGTAAGAGCCTGCAGTCTTGCACACGAACGTAGTGCTGGTGGGTATAAGCATAATGACAACAACCACAATAACGCTAAACACACCCGACGGCAGAAAAAAAGTAATACTACTCAACAATGGCAACAAATCAATGAAGCACTAAGAAACAAAAGAACAGCCAAGGAATCAGTACATGATGGCAATCACAACAACAACGGCGGCAATAGCACAGACTTCAGTGCTTGGCTTGGCTGCAGCATGCGGTCGCCCTTCTCAAAGTTCATTTGATAGGCAGCCTGTTCCAGAAAAAGTTTGCGCTTAAGTACAGAACTTAAAGGCTCATGGGACGTAGCCAAAAGTAAGGTCATAATTAGGATAACCCTACACATAACCCAGTCATAAGCCCACTTACTAAGTCCCCTGGGGGTGAAGCCGACGATCAGACTGATAGGATGCTCAGGTTGGCCCCTTGGGTTTAGGTTTAGGGTTTGGGTTTCGGGTGTAGGATTTCGGGTTTAGGGTTTAGGGTCTAGAAATGGTCCGTGAGTCGAACCAATTGCATGAAATGCTCTTTCTAATTGTGTATTTCTCTAAATTAGGGTCCCTTGTTACGTCCCCAACATTCTACGGCACCCTTATAAGAAGGATCCTAAAAGGATCCTAATTTAGAGAACTGCCCGAATACTATTCCTTGGCGTCACCATGTCTTGGGGTTCCTTGTTCTCCCAACACCCTATTCAAGTTGCGGATGCCCCATGCTTTAGGGTTTAGCGTTGAGCATTTAGGGTTGAGGGTTTAGGGTTCAGCGTTTAGGGTTTAGGGTCATTTCCGGCCTCTTTGCGCCAAGTGCCATCTCGGTGTGAGATGCGCATGGTCCCCTCATCCAGGTCTATCGCCAGACCAAGGCGGTCGTTCGGATGCCAACGATCCATGTTGGCCTGCAAGCGGTTTAGGGTTTAGGGTGCCGAAATTTGGATCTCACCAAAACACAGGGCCTTAATAGTTAAATGGAGTAGGGTGTTGGGGGTGTGTTATGCAACACAACCACGTACTACCACCTTCGAGCGAGGCGACCGATAAAAAGGATCATCATGCTGGCAAGTTTGACAACTATCCTCTTGGCATCATTCCTGAAACCCTAAACCCTAAACCCTCCATCACGAGCAGCACAGGGCTTAGGCTTGAAAGTGCAGGGTTTAGTGCTTGGCTTTCGGGCTTCGTGCTTAATTTTAAGGCTGAAGGCTAAGGTTTGGGGTTCACCTTCAGCCCATGGCCAAACCTAGGAGCCTGCCAGCACTTTCGCACAAGATGCTGCCAGGGCAAAAGGCAGTCATGTAGGCTAAGACCCTGATCCACAAAACCCTAAACTCCTGCAACCAAAACCGTTTAAACCCAAGGCCTTTGAGCCCCAAAACCCTAAAATTCTGAACACACCCCTAGACTCCTAGACCCTAAACCCTAAACCCTAAAAGGACCCCTAAACCCCCAAAGGCTGGGCTTCTTTGGTTTAGGGTTTAGGGGTTTAGGGTTTTAAGGGGTGCAGGATTTAGGGTTGAGGGTTGAGGGTTGAGGGGCTTAAGGGGTTTACGGTTTTAAGGGGTTTAGAGTTTAGGGTTAAGGGTTTTAAAGGGTTTAGGACTTAGTGTTTAGGGTTGAGGGTTCAGAGGTGTAGGGTTCAGGGTTTAGGGTTTTTAAAGTGGTTTAGGATTTAGGGTTTAGGGTTGAGGGTTTACGGGTTCAGGGGTTTAGGGTTTAGGGTAAGTCAAAGACCCTGAACTTTCGACGTTCGCGTCCTTTGGTTAACAACCCCTTGGAGTTCTGAGAAAAAACAACATTCCTAAGATAATATCGAGGAGTATTAGAATAAGGTTTCTTTAAGGGTTCCTTTGAAGGGGTCTATAATCTATAAGGTTAATTTCACGGGTTTAGGGCTTAGGGTCTCTATCGGGGCCTTAGATAATTAGAATGAGGGCTTCGGGTAAATCGTAGTATAACTGGAGTAAGGAACGGTATGACAAATCATTCATGCTTCTGAATTATACGGCTACTTCAAGTGTCCCTTTGTGGGTTTAGGGTTTAGGGGTTCTGATAAAGCTTGAAGAAGGCTTTCGCAAGGTACAAACCGAATATATTCCTTGATTAAGGGTGCTGGAGCTCTTTATTTACCTGGGGCTGTAACCCCTTGAACCCAACACCACAAGGCCATCTTCAAGACTCGCATAGGAACCCCTAATCATTAGAATAAGGTTTCATATTTATATATAGTATACTATAGCTGTCAACCCTAAACCCTAGGCCCTGAACCCTGAACCCTGAATCCTGAATCCTAAAACCCTGAACCCTAAACCCTGAACCCTAAATCCTAAATACTAAAACTAAACAGTGAACCCTACACTCTAAAATACTAAACCCTAAACCCTGAACCCTAAGCCCCAAAAACTAAACCCTAAACCCTGAACCTTAAACCCTATGCAGATGCTCCGAGCCTCCTTCGCTCTTTTGTTGTGGAATTGAGCTGCGCGCTGCGCATCAAAGGCCCAGCCCTCGGCATCAGTGCCAACGCCTTCAGGGCTGCTAAGAATGGGCTGTTCATTGAACCACTGGGGAAAAGTATATACTATTTAGGGTTGGTTATACTATGGTAGGAACCAAATGCAACATTGCAGCGACAAAACCCTCTCAACCCTCAACAGACCTGATACCCTAAATCCTAATCCCAAATCCCAAACATTGAACCGCTAAACCCAACTCCCCCGGTGCCAACTCGCAAGGTCCTAAACCCTACGCACTCGGAGACTGCAAAAAGGTTCGAAGACTCCGACTGAAACCCCAAAAGCCTGAACTCCTTAAAACCACAAAACCCCTACCTAAACCAAAAACCCTAAACCCCTTAAGACCCTGTAGAAGCCTAAACCCTGAACCCTAGACCCCTTGAGCCCTAAATCCCTTAAACCCTAAACCCTAAACTCCTTAAAAAGCCGAAGCCCTAAACCCTTTAAACCCCCTAGACCCGAATCCCTGAAGCCAGGAGGCTCTTGGGGAGATCGAAGCCATCAGTCTTCGCACCGGAATCGAACCGCGTCGTCAGCCAACCGAGCTCTGCAGCAAAATGGACGGTGCTTAGCCTAGGCGGTTTAGGGTTTGGGGTTTAGGGTTTGAGGTTTAGGGTTTAGGGCCAAAGCCTTTGAGAGATATTCGTAAATGAGGCCCTGACATGGAAAATGTAAAACATCCCAAAGGCCTACCTAGTAGCAGCTCCACCTCGTGATAGAGCTTGCCAGAGCCGCGGGCGACCTCCGGCACTCCACAGGTCAGAAGGTTCGAAGGGCCGCCATGGCAACCGAGGCGTTTCGAAGGCACGAAATCCTTGGGCAGCAAGACGGTGAGTCCACGTAGTTGGCCTGGCTTTAGGGTGGAGGGCCTAGAGCTTTGAGGGTTTGGGGTTTCAGGGACTTTGTGGATACAGGGTTAGAATGTTTAGGGGATTAGGGTTTAGCGGTTACGGCTGGGCGGTTAAGGTGTGGGCTTTAGGCGTTAAAGCTGACCTCGCAGCGTTGGTAGCGCGCCGGAGAATATCAGCATCTCGGCGAGTTTGCGTCGGTGATAAGCCAGAGTCAGTGCTTGGGTACCTAGGGTCCCCAGTAACCGTAACCCCTCAATAATACGGAAGCATACTAGCTGGCGAAAACCCTACACCCTAAACAGAAAACCCAGGGCTTAAACCCTAAACCCCGAACCCTAAGAAGACAAAAAAACACCACTGGAGACCAAGGTACTGCTGAACGTCAGCCGGCCAGCATCTTGTCCCAAAAACCCTACATCTCGTCCGAAAAACCCTAAAAGGTCCTCCCGGCCAAGGAGCCACTCCACGGCCAAGTCCGTCATTCCTAGGTGTTGGCCGTCTAAAGCCTTCGAAAAATACTCGTAAATACGGTCCTCTTAAGCCCAATAAGGGAAGACACAAACATTAACTAAACCCTTTAGACAATAAACCCTACAAGTACCTCTATAATTAAGCCAACAACTCTTAAAATGTCCCACAATGCCTACCTAGACTCTGCTCGCTTCATCCACGGAGTTTTTGCCGCCAGCAGCCCGCGGATCAAGCTCGCACCTTGCCTCGAGAAGTAGCCGCAACATTCCGACTTCACCCGCTGCTTTTGCCAGCGACACTGCCGTGTCACAGTCCTTGTACCGACTATACAAATACCTTTACTGAAACCCTTAATATCACGAAAAGTGCCATATGCCCCAAAACATAGTTTAGGAATTAGGCCCTAAACCCTAGGCCCTAGACCAAAGAATTTGTACAGGCCCCCGTCCTTGTTTCGAGCCTTCAAGTCACAGCCTTCATGGACGAGGAACTGCAGAGTCTTCGGATGACCTGCCCAGAGATCCCAGTACCCCTTGAAATTGAATATACCTTTAGCGTTTAGGTTTTAGGGTTTAGGTTTGGGGTTTAGGTTTGGTAATGAAGGAGTATACCTTGAACTATAGGGGTCGCAATATGACGTTTTAAAGTATATTTTCCTTACTTACGAGTATTGGGATCTCTGGCTGCTTGGAAGATCAGGGCCAAGTTGGCCAAGTAGGGGTTTGGGGTGTTAAGAGTGTAGGGTTTTAGAGTTTGGAGTTAAGGTTAAGGTGAAAGGCAAGTTATAGGATTTTTAGGGTGCAGGGTTTAGGATTTGGGGTTGTAAGTTGCAAGCAACTTTCACAAAAGTTACCTCACTTTGTTTACCCTAATTACTAAGTTACTACGTCCCAGGATTATAACATAATTCCTGTTAACCCTCAGCAATGTACTATGCTTCTAGAAACGAACCCTAAGGACCCTAAGGAATATAATAGTGTTGCTAATTGCCTGCACCCCTATATTCGCCTTCCAGCACCCTAAACCCTAAACCCTAGACCCTAGGCCCTAAACCCTAAACGCTAGACCCTCAAACCCTAAACCCTGAAGTGGCCTTCTTGCACTGCCAGCATCGCCGCCGTGTGTCCAGAGATGTTGACAACCTCAGGATCGCACCTCGCGCTCAGCAGGGTCCTCAGCACCTCAAATTTAGGGTTTAGGGTTTAGGGTTTAGGGTTTAGGGATTAGTTTAGGGTTTCGGGTTTGGGATTCTGGGTTTAGGGTTTAGGGGTCTTCAGCGCCTCGGTGTTGCCTCTCCCTGCTGCAAGCGTCGCTGCAGATTCACAGAACATAGCCCTGGAAGCTGGTTTGTGTGGGTCACATCTCGCACTGAGCAGAATTTTCAGCACATGGACGCTTCCACCCATAGCTGCAAAAACAACCGGAGTAAAACCTTAGTTGCTGATTTCATAAGACCCAACAAGTGTAGACTTTCAGTTCGATAGGGGATCATATTATCCCCAAAAGTTTAAAGTGTACTCACTCAGCTACTCAGAAACCAAACCGGTATTCGGCAGACTCAGCATCGCATCGAGCCTCGAGGAGTAACTTCAGCACATCTACGGCTCCATTCCCGGCAGCAGGCATGACTGCTGTGAAGCCATCCTCGTCGACACTGTGCGGGTCGCATCTTGCTTCCAGAAGCAGCTCCAATAACTCAGCGTCAGCTCCTCTGCTTTTAGCAGCCTCGAAGACGGCACTCTGACCATGCTTATTGAGGATCTTCGGGTCGCCTCTAGCCTCCAAGAGCAACTTTACCACGTCAGTGTGTCCCATGCCTGCGGCTGTTATGATTGGGGTGTTTCCAGCCTTGTCTGCCATGCCTGGGTCACATCTTGCCTCCAACAGCAACTCCAATGAATCAACACTGCCAGCTGCTGCTGCTCTGATGATCGCACCACTACCATCCATGTTGGCGCTCCTCGGATTAGCTCTTGCCTCCAACAGCAACTTTAGGGCGTCTACATTTCCCGCGGCTATGATGACCGGGGTGTTTCCAGCCTTGTCTGCCATACTTGGGTCACATCTTGCCTCCAAAAGCATCTTTAAGGCATCGGCACTCTGGAGCGCTGCAGCTTCCAGGACAGCACTCCCGCCATCCTTGTTGACGATCTTCGGGTCACATTTCGCTTCCAACAGCAACTCTAAGGCATCGGTGCTTGCACGGCGTGCAGCTACAATGGCGGGCGTCTCGCCGTTCTTGTCCACAAAGCTTGGGTCGCATCTTGCCTCTAGCAACAGCTTCAATGCAGCAACACCTGTGGCTTTGATGATTGCGCTGCTGCCGTCATTGTTTATCATTTTCGGATCACCGTTCGCTTCCAGCAGCAGCTTCAAGGCATCAATGCTGTCATAGCCTGCGGCTGTTATGATTGGGGTGTCCCCAGACTTGTCTGCTATGCTTGGGTCGCATCTTGCCGCCAATAGCAGCGCCAAGCAATCAATTCTGTCGTATGTCACAGCACTGCTGACTGCGCTACCACCTTTCTTGTTTGTGAGTGTCGGGTCACATCTTGCATGCAAGAGCAACTTCAATTTATCTGTGCATCCCTCCGTCGCAGCTGCAATGATGACGGTGTTGCCCCTTTTGTCAGCAATGCTCGGATCGCACCTGACCTCCAGAAGGAGCTTCAACACGCCAACGCTTCCCCTCGATGCCGCCCGCAAGACTGGAGTGTCACCATCCTTGCTGGCGATCCTCGGGTCGCATCTCGCTTCCAATAGGGCCTGCAGGGAATCGGTCGTCTGTAGCGCTGCTGCCGTCAAGATCAAGGGCTCACCATCCCTGCCTGCAGTCTGAGGGTCACATCTGGTGTCGAGCAACATCGGCAACAAAGCCGCGCTGCCGTTTCTTGTCGCAACGATGACTGCACTGTTGCCCCCAGGGTTGCGTGCCTCTGGATCGCACCTTGCCTGCAGCAAGAGCTGCAAAGCGGCACCATGGCCTCCCTCTGAAGCCAGCAAGGCTGCATTGCTGCCAAAGATGTCCGTTGCACTGAAATCTGCGCCGAGCGCTTGAAGTGCCCTCAGCACATCTACCTTCCCAGCTTCCGCTGCAACGTGAAGGGCAAGTCCAGACTGGGTCTCAGCTGTGCACACGTCGACTCCCTGCGCATGAAGTACTTCTATCACACCACCATGCCCGGCAAACACAGCCTCGAGGAGCAGCGACCGGTCCCTGTCTGAGCCCTCCTCGTCGGCTGTCCAGAACTCCTGCACCAAATGCTCGGCACCGAGGCCTACCGCCAAATGTAACCGGCTGTCCCCAAACACCGCACGTGTTGGGAACAGACACATGCATCGAGTTCGCAACAGGGCTTGGTAGATCAACACCACAAGCATAGCCAATAGGTGCATCGTCAGACCCACACCCATCAAGGTTTCCAAGACGGGCTCTGTGGCAAGGGGACACACACCCTGAGTCACGGATGCATACCTGTGCACAACCATGATGCTGAAAAAAATCACGAGATTGCTGCGCCAGAGCATTGCGCACAATTGCAGCCGCAGCTGGGCAAGGAGATCCACCGGGAAGCAGGGCCAGGGCATTCCACAGAGGCACAGCACAAGAACAAGAACCTTCTGGTCATCCGCCCTAAGTTGTATGGAATGCTCGTCGAACGACGTTTGCAAACACCTCCTGCAGTACAGAGCACGCGCTGCCAGCTCACAAAGGAAGATGACGGGTATGCAAGGACGTGCCTGAGGATCCAGATCCATACATGCCACAACCCAGAAGATCACCCACGATGCCATGTCTGCAGTGCGCCAGAGCCACAAAGCTTTTCGTGGAAGCAGAGGCTCCGCCTGGGATTCACCATCGCGAAGACACCTGGGATCTTGTTAGGGAACTTAATTCAAGTTATGGCTTAAGTAGGGTTTAGAGTTGAGGGTTAAGGAACTTAGTTCAAGTTGCCATGAGGAGGACACCCCATTTATGCACTATAGATCTCGACTTATGGCAACTAAACCTAAGCTCCTCAAGAAAGAACCGAGACACGGGACCGAGACACAAAAAGCGGAGTTGGTGGCAGCAGCCGCAAAGCCCAGTTGTAGCACGAATGCCATACAAAGGAGCCAGTGCTTGCTCTCAGGGAAGGTTTCGAAAGCAAGAGCGTGAAGCTGAATGAGGCTGGAGACCACTGCCCCTAAGAGACCAGTCAAGCAGAATGTTACAAAATCTTGAGGTGATCCGCGTTTTGCAACCAGTGCCACGACAAAGCTGAGCACCGAGAACAGCTTCACGAATGCCAGCATACCACCGAACCACCAAAGTCCGCCGGCAAAGTAGGTTATTGTGACATAGATGCCGGAGATCAGCTCCAACAATCGAAGAGAACATGCTTCTGCCTCCGACAACCCCAAAATCGCCTCCTCCCATTGCAAGTTGCTCTCTTCTGGTTTACCCAAACAGGCATCCCTACAATGCAGAATACCGACCGGTGCCAACGTGATCACAGACACACCAACGATCAGCCACAGCCAGTGCTGCGGATGCGAAATCCATTGCAGGCTTTGCTGGTAGAGCGTCTGCACAAAAGAAGGCACGGCAGCTGAACGCGTCTGTGCTTCCTCGGCTCGAAACGGGAAAAAGCAATTCATCACACAGATAGAAACTGCTGAAGCTGCGACGCTGCAGGTGCTGCAAACTACCTACCACCTGCACTACTTCCAAGACATGCATCGGCGACCAGGCAAGGCTTCACACGATCCCACGTCCTCTCGAACGCCTGGAGGCCGAGGACGTCGACGGCTGCCTCGGCTTCCTTGCGGCGGAGCATCCGGCCTGACATCAGGGGTTTTCCACGCGAGGGAAGCAACAACAGAACTCAGAGCACCCAGCCTTGCATCGTGGATGAAGTAAACGGAGGCCATCCCGGGAGGATGGAGGCCGAGCATAAGGCAACAAGCGGGAGAAGCATCGCACATGAGCGACTGCATGGCCCGGACTTTGCCGGGTCCGCCCTCCGGGGCGGGCGACAGCGCGCCATGAGCCCTCCCTCTGGAGCCAGGCTCGCGCACACAGCAGCTCAACCTGTAGGTCCAGAGTTCTCGTGTTCGCAACGAATACACAGCAGATGAGGCTGGATGGCAGATACATCACCTTGCTGTAGCCATGGTCCGACGAAGAAATGGAAGCCACTGAAAGGGTGCTGGGACATCCAGAAAAAAATCACTCAAAAGAGCAACCTTGTAAAGATAGCTTTCAGAGGTCCTTATAGTAAGGCTATGACTTAGGATCCCCATTCTCGGAAACCCCCACATTGTGAGGCCCAAAACAGATTGGCCCGGGTGCACATGAGAGCGTCAGAGTAGCTGGGGGCTGTGCTTGCGCAGTGCAACGGCGTTACAGCCGAAAGGACGTGACGTCGATACTCACCTTCGTCCATGCAGGAGAAGCTAGAATAAAACAGCACAACGCGGAAGCAACGCCCACCTTGCTCTGCAATGTGGCTTCGTGCAAAGAAAGCATCACACTTTCCCTGAGCAACACTATCTTCACAGACTCGTGCTGTAAACAATAAGGGAACCCCCTTATTTACGATACACCCCTGTTCGTGGAAACTTCAATTCATGCCTCGTCAGCCAGATCGGAACAGGTCTGACATGCGGAGCGTCCCGGAGATCTGACCTTCCGGACATAGAGCTTAAGGAATTTACGGTGCAGGGTTTGGTGAAGTTGGGGGCTTAGGGTTCAGGGTGCAGGGTTTAGGCGCGACTCCGTATGCTCCGATGCCAACAAACGGATCTCAACCCAAGTGAACCCAGGAGCTCTAAAGAACGGGAGCCGATAAAGAGCGCTTAAGGTGCCAGTGTGCAGAGCAAGCATGACAATCATGGGAGCCGGACTGCTGCAATTCAACATTCTCGCCGTCGCCATCGAAAGATGGCTGGGTCTCTGCCAAGCTACAACATTACCCCAAGAGGCCCAGATCCATATGCACCTACACCTAGAGCGATGTAGAGTAGGTCCTGTGCTTGACAAAAACGATGGTGCAACTTCATGGACGCATCAGAGGAGCTCGGCAGCAGTACTCCTGCATGCTTTTTGGCGCAGGGCAGCTTCCCCTGCAAGGCTCTGCTGTGTGACTCGTGTCTGTCAGGGCTTATGACTGCAGACATTTCCAGAAAAGGGACTTGAATTCAAGAGAGCAAAGGAAAAGAGACGTGGTGGCGAACAAACACAGGTAGATCAATACCTCGACCCCGGAATCCTCGGATAGTCATCGTCGCTGTCAGAATCCGGGATTCTGACTCCGACAAACACGGTCTGCAACTCGTCATACGTATAGCCTGCCTTTCGTAGCTTCTTGACATCGTAGCCAGCTTCCTCACACTCTGCAGCAGTGAAGCCTGCTGCCCGGCACTCGGAAGCTGTGCAGCCTGCCTCCTTGCAGGTGCTAGCGGACATGCCGAGGTCCCTCAAGACGTCCTTCTTGAAGCCTACCTGGATGTACTCTTTTGCGGTAAAGCCAGCTTCCCTGCATCGGTCCAGGGAGTAGCCGGCCTCCTGCCAGCTTTCGGCTGGGAATCCGGCCGGGAGGCACTCCCCCATCTGATAGCCCGCTTTCAGGCAAGCTGTGCACGACAAGCCTGCCAGTCTGCAGACGCTCGCTGGATAGCCGTCCTTTCGAACTTCACGAAGCCTGCGAGGAACCTCATCTCCGTCCTCGCCCTCTGAGTTCGAGAGCACCCGATTCACTTGGGTGAGATTGCCTGGCAGGCGAAGTTGGAGATAGGCACCGCAGATGGCCTCCTTCACCTAGGTTCCCCAGTAGCCCCTTAAACAATAAGGGTGCCCTTTTTCCCCTTGATTGGTATAAAAAATAAGTGAACCCCGAAAAGAAGAAGGGAAAAAGGGTACTAACGCCTATGCATCGATTATAGAGCCCGTTAAGGAACCACGGTTTAGGGTTTAGGGTGTAGGGCCATTAAGGAACCCTTCAAGGAACCCTTCAAGGAATCGAAAGAAGAAAACTGGCTCCATGTTGGGACTATATTTAAAATGATCATTTTTAATCCTTATTGGGTTTTATTATAAGAAATGTAAAATTGTAGCCAACAAGCGCCCAGAAAAGGGGGGAAAAGGCACGACTGGGGAGCCTGGTCACTGAGTCTGCTGGGTCAGCCGCCAGAAGGTTGAAGTTGAGGCTTTGCCCGCTCCTCTTTGCTGCCTTGCTGTCTGTTTCTAATGGGTCCCTCTCAGGGCTTAGTGTTTAAGGTTAATATGGATCCCTTTCAGGGCTTACTTCAAGGGCTCCATTAAGGATGTTCAAACCCTAGACCCTAAACCCTTCATTTTGATGGCTCCTTTTTAGGTTTCCTTTGAAGGGCTTCTTGTCCCTTTCAGGGTTCATGTTGAGGGATTCCTCCAAGGTTTCCTTGAAGGCCTTCTTGAGAATTTAGGGTTTTGGGTTTAGGGCTTAGGGTTTAGGGTTTAGGGTTTAGGTTTAGGGTTTAGGGTTTAGGGTTTAGGGTTTAGGGCTCACAAATAGCTTCGCGCCTTGCGTATGGTCGTTGGCGAAGACTTTCTCTCCTCGATGATCATCTCCTTTATCCATCGGTGGCGCTCCCGCCAAATCTCTATGTACAGGTCCCTTTCTCTTAGGACATTCAAGGCAAGAAGCACCTTGGTGCTCTTTTCGGTTCAGGGATTATGAAAAATTTGGGGCGCAGGGCTTAAAGTTTAGGGTTTAAACGCTTCAACTCGTCTATTATGAAAATTAAGCTCGCATTGCTAACCTTCCATTTCCTAAACCCTAAGCCCTAAACCCTAAGCACCCTCAACCCCCAAGCACCCTGAACCCCTAAAGCCTTAAACCCTTCACGCTTTCTCTAGTGGGGCCTGGCCCTGCACCCGAAGAAACCCTCGTTTTTGGACAACAAAAAACCACACACCCTAGGGTTTAGGGCTTAGGGCTTAGGGTTTAGGGTTTAGGGCTTACGGTTTAGGGTTTAGGCTTCCGAGAAACCTTGGGTCACAAAACCCTAAGAAACCCTTACGACACCCCGCAGAAACCCTCCAAACCCTAACCGCCCTAACCCCTGAACCCCTAAACCAGAAAACCCTAAACCCTAACCCTAAACCCCTCAAACCCCTTAAACCGCCCAAGGGGTAGCGCTTCGTCGGTGAGTCCATGCAGGGCCGGGTAGATCTGCCTCTGAAGCTCCTCAAACTTCAGCCTCGAGTTGCCAGGCACCTCCTGATTCGTGTTTTAGGTTTTAGGGTTAGGGTTTAAGGGTTTAAGGGTTTAGGGCTTTAGGGTTTTGAGTTTTAGGCTTTAGGGCTTAAGAGTTTTGGGCTTGAGGGTCTTAGGGTTCAAGGTGTTTCGGGTTTTAAGGTTTAGTGTTTTAGGGTTAGGGTTTAGGGTGCTTAGGGTTTCAGGGTTTTGGGTTTTAGGGCTGTAAGGCTCAGGGCTTTAGGGTTTTAGGGTTTTAGGGTTTAGGGTTTAGGGTTTTGAGGTTTTAAGGTTTAGGGGTTTAGGGCTTGTTGAGTTCAGCTTCAAGGTGCCAGGCCCCACCTGGGGACTCCTTTGGCATTATTAAGGTTTAGGGTTTAGGGTTTAGGGGTCTAGGGGTTTAGGGTTTAGGGGTTTAGGGGTTTAGGGTTTAGGGTTTAGGGGTTTAGGGGTTTAGGGAAAAGCCTACCCTAAAGGCTCTGATTTTCCGACAATATGCCCTGAAGCAACCTAAAACCCTCCACCCCTCAGAATCCCGACTTAGGGTTTAGGGTTTAGGGGTCTAGGGGTTTAGGGTTTAGGGTTCAGGGTTTAGCCACCCAGAAAGAAACCTGCAAGCTCCTGCGCGCATCTGAGGAGGCCCTCATCGGAGCAAAGGAGCATGGCTAGGTGCCTTCCTGGGTTCTTGTTAGGGAAACTAACGTCTAAGTTACCATCAATAAAGAAACCTATTCCGTACCATAGATCCCTAAACCCTAAACTTTAGCCCGAAGCCCTACACCCATGTTATGGTAACCTGAGCTAAACAGGAACCCAGCGTCTCACTTGCCGGCTCTTCGAACTGAAAATCCTTAGCTTTGAAGGCTGAAGGTTGAGGGTGTAAGGGTGGTTGAAGGTTGAGGGTTTAGGGTTTAAGGGTGGTTTAGGGTGAAGGGCTTAAGGCTTAAGGATTTAGGGCTTGGGGCTTGGGGTTTAGGGTTTCGGGTTTTAGTTGAAGGTTGAGGGTTTAGGGTTGAAAGTGGTTTAGGGTGAAGGGCTTAAGGCTGGTTTTAAGGTTGAGGGTGTAGGGCTGAAGGCTTGCAGTTCAGACGTTAGGTTTCAAGCTCTAGGTTTGGGTTTAGGGTTCAAGGTTGAGGGTTGAAGTTTTGCGGTTCAGGGTTTCGGTTTTTCTCTACCCTTTTTTCCGTAAGCCCTAAACCCTGAACCCTAAACTTTAACCCCTCGACCCCTAAACCTTTAGGGCTTCGGGTGTAGAGCTTCCGGCCTAAATCCTAAACCAAAAGCCCGTTTCGAGCTTAGGGCTTAGAGCTGAGGGCTTGGAGTTTAGGGGCTTGGGGTTTAGGGACGAAGGGTTTGGGGTGTATGGGTTTAGGTTTTTAGGTTTAGGAGATGCATTGATGTCACCATAATTGGGGTGTGCAGTAAATCATGGACTCCTTCTTCCAGTATCTCAAACGAAGTCTTTTACGACCCGAGAAGCCCTCGTAATGCCCACGCAGTTCCTTGACCAAACCCAAAAAAGGCCGCTTATCTTTTCAGACCCATAGGAAACCCTCGCAGATCCGCATAACAGCGCAACAGCCCGTTAAAACACACTCAACCACCCCAAACCCCTAAACCTTACTCTTACAGAACCCCTTGCAGAACTCTTTTGGGTTACCCTAAACCCTAAACCCTAAACCCCACTAAAGGAGGCCTGTCCCTAAAACCCTCACAGCCCTAAACCCTAAACCACTAAAGCTCTGCGAACCCAGCGTCTTCCACCCTAAAACCTTAAACTCTAAGACCCTTTAAGAACCCTGGTCGACTCCAAAAGATCCCTCCGAAGACCCCTTAAAGGATGCCTTAGACGAACTACGTAAACACTCGTTTTGGCAACCTTGAAAGGAACCCTTGCAGGACTTAACCCTTCTTATAAAACCCTTAAAGGAACCCTTAAACGGCCTTAAAGGAACCCTTAAAGGAGCCCGAAAAGGAGCCCTTCGAGGGAGCCCGGAGCACACGATTTCAACCCTAGGCACCCTGAACTTTTATTTTAGGGTTTAGGGGTTTAGGGGTTAGGGTATAGGGTTTAGGGTTCAGGGTTTAAGGTCTAGGGTCTATGGTTTACCCCTTAGAACCCTAAACAAGAGCCCCCATGATGGTGACCTCAATGGAGCTCCTTCACAAGAAACCCAAAAGCCCCAAATCCCTCAACCCTAAACCCCAAACCTAAACCCTAAACCCTAAACCTGAAGCCTAAACCCTAAACCCCAAACCTACACCCAAAATCCTGAACCCCAAACCCTAAATCCCTAAACCCCTAAAACCCCTGAAACCGAAACCCCCAAAGCGAGAGCCTGACCCCTAAACAAGAACCCGGAGTCAGTGACTGGCCGACCGGAATCAGAAGGCCTTTGCAGAGGCTGATGATGGCAGAGACCCAGGCGAAGTCCGAACCGGTTTTCAGGCCCACCTTATGTGCGCTTGGGGGGGGGTCTGGGTTTAGGGTCCGGGGTTTAGGGGCTTGGTTAAAAGGGCCCAATAATTAAAATAGAATTTTGGGGCCCCTTATACTATACTTATAATAAGGAACCCCAAAATAGTATTGGTAATTACTTCGGCCCCTGTATTAGGGGTTTAGGGTTCAGGGTTCAGGACCGAGGAGAGAGGGAGAGTGGATCCCGAGAAAAGTCCCTCTTTCATGACGCTTAGAACTCTTAGGGTTTAGGGTTTAAGGTTTAGGGGTTGCACTCCTTCCTCCACTTGAAACACGACGCCCTAAAGCCCCAACACCCGCCCCTCCTTAAGCACCAGCAAGCCACAAAGACGCCGACGAAACCCTGCGGCCAATCCTCCGCCCAAGCAATGAAGAGCCGTGCATGGGACAAGAAGTCGACGGCAAAGTTCGACATGGTGACCTCAAACATCTCCATGTAGGTTGCAGCTCCCGATCTAAATTCGGCCTTGGGTAGTGCCAGAATGCCCATGTAAGTGTTGCGTAAGTCGGTGGCAGCCTCCGTCTTGTACCATGAAGCGACGACATAAGCGAAGATGATGACGTAGACCGATGCGACACATAAGCAACTTCCATCTGCCCAAATATCTAGCCCAGCCCTCAGCACATGGCAGCTGCTGTGGAACGAATTCGCCCAGAAGGGACGAAGAATTGGCACCACAGCATCAACCGCAAGGAAAACACCAGAAAAGGTTGCAGACAAAATGAAGACATAGTAGATAGGGCTAAGCTTCTCTCCCTTCCAAGCCAGCAATCCATACACCACACCTATTGACACAATCGGGGCGGACACAAAGAGGAGCAGTGGAACGAAGACTGCTGCGCTGGCCGCAGGAACCACCACCTGCACGAGCAAGAGTGGCGGCCACACAGGCAACCACATGCATCGATGCCTCATGAACAATTTGTTCAAGAGCCTTGAGAGACAGAAGTCTGCTGCCGCAAATGCAGCGCCCCAAAAGAAACCTCCGACAGTGGCAGGCGCCAACAAACATTGACCCGCCACGACCCAGTCCTTGACGGTGTCAAACACCTCGCTGACAATGGGCATCGTGAACCTGGGTTCTCCAGCATCCCCGCAAGAGTGCGATAAAACCCGAAAGCCTAAACCTTAAACCCTCCAGCATCCCCGCAAGAATGCGATAAAACCCTGAACCCTAAACCATCCCCTCAAAACTGCGAAACAAAAGTTGCTTGCTCTTCCGGTTTAAAGGAGGAAAGCCCAAAAGTATACAGGGCGAAAAAAGTACCACTAGAAAGCCCAGAAACCCAAAAAAAAATCGAGCATCCCTTTAAAAACCACTTATGTATGCCCTTAAAGGACCTAGGAACATCAGCACGGTTTTTGCCGTCTTAACGGTTGGCGCAGGGCCATCTGGTGAGCAGCAACGAACGAGGTTTTGACAAAAGAGCGTCCTGAGCCGGTTTGGCATGTAGGACACGGGGTTTAGGGTTTAGGTTTTAGGATCTGGAGTTTAAGGCATGACTGATTTATGTGTGTCAATTTTCATGTCTGCATCATTATTGATACCTCTATATATATATATATGTACATAGATGTACACTCGTGTGCATACATACACACAAATATGTGTATATATGCGTGTATGTGCGTGTATATATATATATACATATTTGCGCATAGAGCATAGATATGCATACAGACAGCCATATAGATATACATGAAGATAGAGGTATAGGTATACATACAGAAAAAGATATAGGTATGTATGCATTCTACATAAATACATATGGATGATGTCATGTCATCCAGAGTCCTTTATTTACATATGTGCATTTATTTGTGTGTGTGTATGTATGGATGTATGTATGTACGTATGTATGTATGTGTATATATCTATACATGTGTGAGTAAGTAGGTGAGCAAGCAAGTAAGTAAGTAGGTAGGTAAGTAGGTAAGTAGGTAGGTAAGCGAGCAAGTAAGTAAGTCAGCATGTAAGTCAGTAAGTAAGTAAGTAAGTAAGAAGTAAGAAAGTAAGTAAGTAAGTAAGTAAGTAAGTAAGTAAGTAAGTAAGTAAGTAAGTAAAGTAAGTAAGTAAAGTAAGTAAGTAAGTAAGTAAGTTAAGTTAGTAAGTAAGTAAGTAAGTAAGTAAGTAAGTCAGTCAGTCAGTCAGTAAGTAAGTAAGTAAGTAAGTATGCATGTATGTATGTATGTATGCATGTATGTACGTATGTATGTGCGCAGTGTGTTTCTTCATACTAGTTTGCTTTGTCTATCTGGTCATGCACTTATCTGTCTCTCTATCTATCTATCTATCTGTCTATCTATCCCTCTAATCGATCTTTCTATCGGTCTATCTACCTATCTATCTGTTCACGTGTCTACTCACATGTGTACGTATGTAGGTATGTACGTATCCGTACCTATGCACTCTAAACCCCCGGTAGAACTTGCGATGCCGAGACTCCACAGGCGGACTTGCTGCCACAGCGCCCACAACTCCTGGGAAAGGTTTAGGGTCTAGGGTTTAGGTTTAGGGTTTAGGGCTTAGGTTTAGCGTTTAGGGTTTAGGAGGGTTTTTGGTTCTTTCTGTTGAACGCCTCTTTGATTTAGGGCTCAAGCTTTAGGATTTAGGGCTGTCGGAGCCCCAGCCCAAACCCTAAACCCTGAACCCAAAAATGTCAAAGGCTGTCTATTCAGCTACATAGGGGGGCTCCGAGGTTGGGGATTTAGGGTGGTTTGGGGTTTGGGGTTTAGGGTTTAGGGTTTAGGGTTCAGGGTTTAGGGGTTGGGTGAGTGGGGTACATGCTTTGCACATCCTTCTTCAAGGTTGGGGTTTAGTGTGAGGGGTTGGGGGTTTGGGGGTTTGGGGTGTAGGGTTTGGCTACTGCTCTACTCGACGCACATCCTTGCCAGATGCACATCATTCCCCTCCTGCCATGTAAGAAGAGAACTCAAGATCCCCTAAGGTTTAGGGTGTAGGAATCCAAAATACACGACGAAGACCCGAGAAGGCACCCGAAAGTCGAAAAAGTTAAATCACTGCGAGGCCCAGGCTCCCACGCCAGTCCGCTTCGAAGCGACAACCAGTCATTCCGCAACGCTACGAGTACCAAAGAGGCACAACCAGAATGGTAGAGCGCAAGTGCCACCCACAATCGGATGGCTGCACAGAACTCTGAAGACATGCAGCCGTCCGCAACATCCTCTTTAGGGGTGTTGGCTTCACGCTGAGAATGTCTGTCGCTCTTTTCATGGTCGTCTTTGTCCTCTGTGTCAGGATCTTGAGTAGACATCTGAACCTTCGATGCTTGGTTCATAGGCTTCATAGGCCCCAGAAAGTTTAAAAATTCCGTCTATGTTGGCGGAAATGTTTTCCCCGGCTGTGTAAAGAAGTATACTCATTGATCTACTAAGGAACATACTCTGGCGAAGCCTGCGACGACATCGTGGAGATTGCTTTGGCAACCATCAGGCGCACTGCAAACGCGATCCTGGGTGTTTAGAACAGCTGTTGGGATCGGTTCATGCAGAACATATAGTTTGTTAGATTCCATAACTTAAGTCTACATAAACTGTCGTACTCTACATATCACATGACATTCGTTATTTCAAAAAGTCGACAGTGCACATTATGTAGTAACTTAGTATGTGTTCGAAATTTAGACTTCCTAAGCCGCTTACCTTACTAAACCCTAAAACCCTAAACCCCTAAACCCTAAAACCCTAAACCCCTAAAACCTAAAAACCTAAACCTTAAACCCCTAAACCCTAAAACCCTAAAACCCTAAAGCCCTAAAGCCCTAAACCCTAAACCCTGAACCCTAAACCCTATAACCCTATAACCTTAAACCCTAAAACCCGAAAACCTTAAGCCCTAAAGCCCTAAACCCTAAACTCTGTCGAGGCTTGGACTTCCTAAAGCAAACTCGCTCTAGGGCTGAAGACAAGGCTGGGAACATGCGGACCGCCTGGCACAAGATGCACATCACTGGAGGGCCCAGCAGGAGAACAGCCACCCAGTATTTCCTGGGCTCTTCTTACAAAACCTGACTTAGGCTACCAGAAGAGGGATCCACAGTATGGAATATGGATTTCTTTGTCATGGTAATTTGCAACTTAAGCTCCTTAACTAAAACCCAGTTTCTGACGGACTTGTGACTCCTCCAGAGTTACTTCAGACATCGCTGGCAAGATCCGGTTGGGTGGCTCTGCCCAGAAGCCGGGCCACTCAGGCAGGTCTTTTGACAGCCTGACTTTTCCCCAAAGCCACCGCAGAGCAAAGCATGTCAAACTCCACACGCTGGGGACATGGGGCAACATGGCGCACTGCAACACGGACCCTATCGCCACACATCACATGGAACTAAAAATTGCGGTCTTGAAAACGGCCTGCGGAAACAAAGCCAAAGAACCATTATCCGGGGGATGTTCTACATTAGGGTCCCTTTCAGAGTCCTTTTCATAAGGGTGCCGTACTATATTGGGGACCCGAAAAGGAACCCTAATCAAAATACTACCTATCTGAAGCTTCTGAATTCTCAGCAGTCAACAGAGAGAGCCAATGCAGAGATATCTAAAGAGCCCGATATCCCTTCACTAAGGAATATACCATAACTTATCATGGGCGTATAACCCCTAAACACTAAACCCTAACACCAGTATGTAAAGTATCTTCCCTAGTCAACGGCCACTGGGCTCTCTGGGTAAGGTGTCCACACTTACAAGGGCTTGGGGTTTAGAGTTTGCGGTTTAGCGTCTGGGGTTTCGGGTTTGGGCTTCAAGGTTGGGGTTTAGGGTTTAGGGTTTGGGGTTTCAGCGGCTGCTGGATTGCTGGGCCCTGCACGAGAAGGATGAGCTCCACGATACTGCATGGCGAAAGTACGGGGAACTGTCAAAACGAGCGTCACCTCGCAACCACAACGGATCGTGCATGCAGCCTTCAAGAAGCATAGTATCTTGCCATCAGCCAGTTTATACTATTTGTGCTAAATAAACGTATATTCATATAAAAATAAAAATAAATACAAACATATAGATTTAAATATATAAATATCAATATAAATATAACTACAAATATAAACATAAATATAAATATAAATATAAATATAAGTATAAATATAAATATAAATATAAATATAAATATAAATATAAATATAGATTTAAATATAAATATAAACATAAATATAAATACAAATACATATATAAATATAAATATAAATACAAATACA